CAGTAAACTGTTTTATATGATACCCATACCTATCGAATCTTATTCATACTCAGAGAGATTAACATACAGCACGTAGAAAGCATTCTGCCCACAGATCTCAAAAACCAATAACAACACAGTTTATACTATGAAGACAAAGACTAGAAACCCTTATGCAGGTCAAAAATAGAATGATAGTCTCAAAGTACACAAGAAAGCTCGTAAGCAATACTAGGGAAAGATAAAGGATGAGCGTAAAAGAAGGGAACGATGCAGCACAAGTCACTTGCGTGAGTGTGGAGTCTGAGAGCTTCACACTATTTCCCCATATCTAAGCAGTAAATATGGGGTATCCTCGAAATGGTTATTTTATTAAGACAACGCCAATTTCTTTGTATATACTTATGCTTTAAATGAATTGGAATTTCTCTTTCACAGAATACTTGAAAGCGGATTAGAAAGAAAAAGGAATTCTCGGTGGTAGATCGAACACTTGTGCTGTACAGTGAGTCTCGCGTGTATGATTATGTGGAACGGCATATACTCAAAGCATAAGCTAATATAGTAGTTGATTCGATGACATAATGTTTGTGTCCACAAAAGGCTTCTGCCACTATGTACTCTTGCCCACTCGCTTCAAATCTTACACCTCTGATGCTGCAAATGGATGACGCGCGAACCTTCAGCTGTGATTTATGTAGTATTGATTTAATCCTCTTTATAATCTGTTCTCAGTACAATACTTAATTGGACTTATTGACTTCGCTTTGTGTGCCTAGACTGAACCATACATATGTCTGGCTCACCAAATCGAACTAGTAGTTGAATATAAGTATATATCTAGGGTATCTAGTGAGGGGTTTTGTGTAGGCAGGTAATGGTCAATTTAGACGTACGCACGCCGTTATACTTGAATGCGACAGTTTATGAGTACTGTTATCAGAGCTTAATCTTAATTTAGTGTATTAACCGGTGTTGGTATCTATATGTTTTTTACTGGTTATACTATTAATTATTGATGCTAATCTATATATAATTAGAACATTACTGAAAAAATTTTGATGCACAGGTATAGTAAGACGTAAGAACCACTATAATTCAGCCAAATTAATCATTATGGTAGAGCAATTTTTTCTTATTTCATAGTATGATCGATATGTCTAGGGTAACTATTGAAAATTATTATTGTTTAATGCTCGTAGTTATTTATGTCCTCCTCTCAAATTTAAGTGGAATACCAGCGGAATAAAAATACATTTATTACTAATCGAGGAATTGAATTGTTGCACATATTGGACACATCTCTTTCTGCGTATTATTAATTTGTTATTTTTTATAAAGAGACTGTCCTCTACGGTATCATTATAATTTACTCAATGTGTGGCCTCATTCAGGAGAAAAGAGTTTAATTGATAACATATCAAAAACGCGAGTACGTTATATAATAGGACATTTAGCAATTCCTTTTAAATTTTTAGTAATAAATATCTAATGTTTTCCGATAAAAGAGAGGCATTTGTAAGAAGAATCTATGAACGCTCATGTTTCCTATTTTGAGTAGTATAATATTTAATAATTATACTTTGCTTGTCTAAGTTCTTTCTACCTACAGCAATTTCTCATCGAGAATTGATGGACTCGCCTATGGTATATTTTTCGCGCCTCATTATTAGTGTATAGAAATTTATAGTCATCTTAGCATGCTCTATACGCCCACAATCATATGTCTCTATCCAGAACTGTTTCTCATTGAGAGACTTTATGCGTCTATAATGTTGTGGATCAATTGGGACATATATGTTGGTAGTCACATAGAATTATATCCTCATGTGTCACCTGGTACTTTAGCTCTTATTATCTTTATTTGCGCGCTATTATCATTCATATGTGTAATTGTGTATCACTATTCTTAGTAGTTGCACAAACATGCCAGTTGACATACCAGGCAAAACAGGTATGCTTATCAGATGAAAAAGAGACTGGCATCAAGACACTTTTGTCTAAATATCTATCTTTGTTTATGCAGATTCTGAAGGTGAAACATGAGCATGATGATTGAGGGATCCATTATTCAAGATCCGTAACATAAACTATTTTTGAAGGTAATACTAAAATAGAGTTTATTGTTTCACCACTCGTTCACATTGGTGAGATGGAAGGGTATATATATTTTTTGAGTTATCTCTTAGAAAATCAATTTTAACATTACTTTCCACTCCATAACATGTCAATTTGTCAACTATCATATTTGTATTGATATTAATTAGACCTAAAAAGATTATATGCTATTTAAAGTGACAGGATATGCACTCTATATAATACAATAACACACTGTGTCGCCATATAGGCTCATCAAAGACCTTCTTGAATAGCTTCTCTAACGCATGTATAAGCATGTGAATTAGAGATGTTGCCTCTAAAAGAAATAGCTACCATCTTACAGAGATTGATGAAACGAATACAGCTTATTGTATCCGCCATAACATTCGGATACCCAATATGCATCCTTTATATGCTATGATAATTTAGTGATAGTAGGTTGGTGAATGAAAGATTACTAATGGTATGAGCTAATGAATATAGGAGTTACACATAACGCAAATGCGTACAAGACGAGTAAAAATCTCACTTGACATAACGATTAAAGAAGTATATCATTGTGCGGCCTCATGTCATAGCATATATCTTAACACATATATATTGCACTTGATTTTCCATGCTCAATTGCGAATCTGAGGATATGGATATTGTTGTACATGTTTGTAATAGGTAGTGTAGATAGTATCAATCTAATACATTCAGTTTTTTGAATAAGCGCTCTTCAGAATATAAAATACACAGCTGTTTAGTCAGTCGTGTCACTGTTTATAATTTGTTTTCTTATATATATCTATTCTCAGTGTGCTCTTGTTTTCGCCGCCACATTTTATTTTATATATTTTATTATTGTATAATATTTTATACTATTTATCATGATGAGTATTTTTGGGTTTGTATTGAAGATTATTATTGCCAAGAAGACCTTACGCGCTACTAGCCAATAAACCTCAACATAAACTTATACTAGATGTTGCTGTATTACATCGGTACAAAATTCGTACTCTCAGAATTTCGTATGGCTACATATCCATGTGCTGCGTCTCTCCTATAAAAAGAGTGCAAGCCTCAGATCTGTTCTACAATGGAAACTTGGCTGTGATTTCTTGACAAAACAACACTCATCTGTTAATAGATTGCTCTAGCGGTTACCACGCTCTATTAGCGCGATTAGTGAATATTAGCAGAACATGAAATGATTGTAAGACGAAATCAGAGTTATGGACTGTATTGTGCAGACACAAGCACCACTACACCTCCTATTGGTGTCTATGGGCTCCGGCCTCGGCCAGTTATAGGCCAGAATGTGATTTTTCTTGTAGTAGCATTATGTATTTTTGATGTTGATTGGACTGAACACCAGGACTCTTCTACGTAAAAGCAAAGGGTCCTGTAAAAGCGTTGTTCGCTATCTTTCGATAGCATTTTGTAGCAGCGCTCTCTCACAACAATTCGTTGGTGAGATCATTGTAGTGACGAAGCGCCTGAGTTGTGTTGGAGGATATGTCATCTGGCCTCGTGCAGTTAAGAGTAGCCGTCTTACGTATTTTGGTAGCATCTAAGCTATGGTATGCATCCTGGCTGATGACATACAGGCAGAACCCAACTCCGGATCAAACTAGCTCCCAGCAGTACGTCGTCTCTCTTGCAATAACTATAAGCCGTGTTTGAAACCAGGATACAAGAGAATGGGTTTTTGCTTCGAATGTCACAAAATGATCTTTATCACCCATATATATTACACCTAAAAAATTTATGGGAGAAACATTGAAACTTGGGAGAGAGACATACACATAATAAATCCATCAAGAATAATTGATGGGATGCTAATATGTTTATTGAGTGTAGGCTGAATGAATAGGAATCTCTTTCTCTGTCACACATGGAAGACCACATAAGAAAAACATGAATTGGACGCAAATTCAATTTACCTCTATGTCTAAGCAGGCTTTATATCTATTCGCGCAGAAATATGGTTTCTTTCTGGTTTGATGACTTAATGTTTAGATAGTTGCTCTCTATTCTCCACATGACAATATTCCGCATTCGCCATACAACTCCGATGAGGACAGAGGAACACGATTTTCTGCTGGTGATAGTTGGGTATAGGGGTGAAAGACCACGAGGGACATATAGCGTTATACTTTTCAGGGACCTATAGCAACTGCTCTTTATTATTACATCAGACAGGTCATAACAACTAACTTTGAAGACATTAATAGTCTTATCAAGAGAATGATTCATTCTTACACTAGAGGATGGGATAGTAGAAACTACTAGCAAATGGAGAGCCAAAGGTCTTGGATTAATTAAATATTTCACGAGCATTTGGTAAGAGAAGTGTAAATAATTCTTCGAGGAAAATTTTTTGTAGAAATCTCACGCACCGAAAAGGTCACACTATAATTTGACCTCTGAGATTCTAGATGTCCTACGGTTCATGAAATTTTACAAATAGATTAAACAACATTGTAAGGCTAGTCAAGGTTTGAAATAAGCTTTGGTTGAATCGATAATTTATTGAACCACTTCTTTTCCGACCAGAAATCGTGGGAAAATGACACGACATGGAGGTGAAAATCTCTACTATCGCTAATTAAAACCCTCCCCTACTTATTATAAAGTACATAACCACAAACGTTTTTGTAAACATACTGATTTATTAGACATAACCTGTTACACTTTATTCGAATTCTCTGTCAAATTATGTGATGGAAACTTTGACACACTAGTACACAGGTTGTGACAGTGCATTTGACATATTCCACACGTATGAGCTATGCCATATATAGCTATTGATTATCTCTGATTTAATCATGAGCAAATCTCAAGAAACATATAGTCGGTAATTATTATGACATCTACGAACACTCTCTTTATGTTGAATTGACCATAGTAACACAAAAAAAAAAAAAAAAAAAAAAAAAAAAGAAAAAAGTACATAATGTTCTTAAGAACTTACATAGTTCCCGCAACTCGGGTGCTAATGTGGGTATTGTCATCTTCATTTAGCTTTGCCAGACCAAAATCTGAAATTTTGGCATTTAAATCTTTATCAATCAACACATTGCTTGTCTTGATATCCCTGTGCACAATCTTTATTATTGACTCCTCATGGAGGTATGCCAAACCTCTAGCCACACCCAGACAAATTTTCTGCCTGGTAGGCCAGTCAAGTTTCAACCTGCTTGTTGGATTCTTCCCTGTAAATAATTGAAGCAAAAGCCCATCAATTTCCAGTGCCTTAACAATACTTTATTTCAAAGCTGTATGCAGGGCTTGTTTGGGTACAAGTACCAAACTCACCAAAAAGAGCACGGGATAGACAATTATTTTCCATGTATTCATATATAAGCAACAACTGGTTTCCTTCAACACAACATCCATATAGCTTTACAAGATTTGGATGTTGAAGTGCAGATATCATGCCTATCTCATTTACAAATTCACGGTTCCCTTGCTTAGACTTTGAGGAGAGCTGCTTCACGGCAATTATAGTTCCATCAGATAGTTGACCCTGCATTCAATACTTAAAACTTCTTATTAACAAAGTTAAGTAGCAAACCATAAAATCCAAAAGGGTGTAGAAATTTAAAATGAATTGCGTATTGTCAATTGAGAATGATATTGCTACTTCTCTTTGGTTCACTTCTGCTCTCTTTTTAGATTTCTAAAGGCAAATGTATCTATGTTCCAAAAATGCTTTAAGGAACATAACGATTATTTAGAAATAAATGCAAAAGAACCTAATATAATTTCTTGGGATTAAGGTGGCTCATCTGAACCCTTTAAAATTCAAAACTGGAGCTTGCAAGTCCATTTTACTATGCCAAGTATATTTTGCATATTTATATCCACTTTAGTGTTTTCTTTATTTTGTGTTTGCTACAATTTCTTGATGAAAACTAAAAGTAAAAGAACTCAGATAATTTATGGATTTCATTTAGATAATAAAGATGATTATTTTCATTTTGCAGTTCATAGGGAATATTAATGAGACATGCAATTACCTTGTAAACAGAACCAAAACCACCCTCTCCAACTTTGTTTGCTGCATCAAAGTTCTTCGTGGCAGCTTTTATTTGTTTTAACGTGAAAATTCCTGTCTGCAGATCTAGACCCCTCAACTCTGCCACCATACAGTTTTGTATGTCAGTACAGAGAATGATCTATTGAATCATAACCTTGTTACGGTAACAAAGATTAGTGTTAGACCCGAGGTAATAGCCGTTGATTTTGATGATAACAAAAGCAAATATAATTAAGGACTAATGTTTTAGAAAATGTGTCTCAGGTATTAAATCACTGCTTAAGCTAATTTGAGAGCTTGAACTAGCCTCAAATGTTTAATACCTTTATCTGCATAGACTTTGCCTCCCAGACAGCCTTTCCTCCACATGATACACAGGACCAAAAGGACAAGAAATACGGCTCCCGCCACAGTGCTAGACACTATGATCTTCTCCTTTTCATCATTATCTGAAGGTGGTTTGAAGTCTGTGCAAGCAAAGGAACTATTGCTGATCAATGAATATATGGGAATAAGTAAATAAATGTAGCGGTAATTACTGAACTTTAGGAACACAATTGTTTCAAATTTCTTAATACTGATATCCCTTGGCAAAATTTCAACTCATTAGATTGTATACATCAGTTTAACTGGGGAAATTAAATTGATGTCAAAAAGTTTCCTCACAATATTGTCAAAATTAAAGCCAAACATTTTCAACCTTAGGCTATTTAAGTATAAGGTGAAATGTTGAGAAGATTTTTTATCTTACTTGGATCTACTGATATGGCTGAAATAAGAGGGCCATAAGTTCCTCTAACTGGAATGCCTGTTGTCCCTTTTCCAGCCCAATAAAAGTGAATCTTTAATGTGTGGCTTGTTACAGTCACAGTAAATTTCTTTACAATTGGCCTACCAGTGCCACCAGCTTCTTCTACAATGTTAAAATCTTTCAAAACCAACTTTTCCTGTATAAAATCAAGCCATAAATGATAAGCATTTATAGATAAAAAAATTCATGCAGTTTTCTTTTTTTCTTTTTAGTATGATAATTTATTTACCTGGATATAAACATCAAAAATACGCCTCCCAAGACTATTAAATGAACTATCATTTATGAAAACAATCTCTGCAAAGTGGAGGTTTACTGTGTAATTCCCATTTATAAGGCAAAGTCCATAGTAAGTAAGAGAGATAGGAGAAACACGTGCTGTGGTGTACAGTTGTGCATCAGGAGAAGATACATTGGATATAGCAGATGTATTGATCTGAATATAGGGATCAGAATCAATGTTATTGTCCATAAAGTTTCCAGTGCTGCTAAATGCCCAAGACTGACTTGTGTAAAACATAGAAGCACCTCTTGGCTCTAAATCAGCTTGGTATGTGGTGTTACCTCCAGCAATCATCTCTTCACCGCCGCAATTAATATACAAGGAGTAATACTCTGAAAAAAAATTACAATGCACAGAAGAAAATGAATATTTGTCCAAAAAATATAAAATGAAAGTGACATGGAAAAACCTAGTTCATTCAATTGGACTAGCATCTGTCTTAGGCTCTTCCCTCTCTCCCACCTTCATCTTATTTCCTAATCTCAATAAATTTATTGTCTCTTGCTCAAATTAGATTCTTAAAAGCAATTTAGAACTTCAAGAAAATTTTTAAACAAAATCCTAAATTATCCTGAATTTCAGAAGCTTAACTATATCTCATGACCAACAAGGAACTATGTGTTTATGTCCTACAGTTCAACTGTTCCTGCTATGATGCAGGAAGATTACTTTAAGATTAATTTCTGAATCACTGATCGAATTGAAATGAAGTTGGGATACTAGTGGCTTTCTTATAATTATCATTTTCCTTTTCTCCGTCTTACCTGCACAAAGAGGCATACAAAACTCTCCTTTCATTCAATATTGTTTAGTATTCATTTAAATCATAATAGTAGACTGTCCTCAGTCATTTGTTCCAATTTTCTGTTAGTGGTAGAATTTCCATCCCAATAATTGTAGGAAGTTATACCTCCACTTTCCCATTTTCCATGTTTCGTGGGTGGTTAATCTACCAAATTTGTATTTAGGCGCAGCTAAGGAAATAAAGATTATCTATCATTCAGAATCTAAACCAAGTCTTGAGTGCTTTTGTTGAGACTCTGGGCTCTAGAAGCAATTAATCAAATCAAATTCAATTATATATTTAATATTGGGCTTATAATGAGTTGGCCTTACCTTTAATACAAAATGACCTAAGCCATTTTGGTTGGTTCACCCTTCACATTATATGCCCTTTTAGTTAGTTGTATTTATCCGATGTGGGATTACCCACATAGTGGGATACCACATACTCCAACACTCTCCCCTCAAGTGGACTACCCCCTTGACAAGGCCATAGATGGGCCCAACACGGTCATCAGGGTAATACCCACACGAGAACTTTCCCTCATGCAGGTTCGGGTCTCAGGCTCTGATACATGTTGAGAAATCTGAGTTTCCTGTGTTGAGTATGTGGGTAATCCCTATCGGATAAATAGCAACTAACTAAAGGTATATAATGTGAAGGGTGAACCAACTAAAATGCTTAGCTAACTAAAAGGGTATATAATGTGAAGGGTGAACCAACTAAAATGGCTTAGGCCATTTTGTATTAAAGGTAAACCCAACTCATTATAAGCCCAATTTAAATATATAATTGAATTTTATTTGATTAATTTGCTCCTACAACCCAGATTCTCAACGGCTTTAAACTCATAGATGATAGATTCTCTCTTCACGAATCTGTCCTTTTAACCAGAGGTCGAAGAAAGAAATCCAGCACACCTACACCTAGCCTACCCCAGCTTACACTCTACCCTTACTCACACAGACCCATAACTCTATCCATTTCTAGGGACCCAACACTTATGCTTTAAATTAGTGAGAAAACTTATAAAAAAAAAAAAAAAAGAAGAGATATCAGGTCCTTTCCTCAATTACTAATTCATATTCAATATGGAAGCAGGAGTCCAAGCGACTTAAATTTTGAATTTCTAAATGTGATTGTTATTGCATGAGAAAGAACTCAAATACACTGTACACACATCCCATGCAGAATACTTCTTTAAACTCTAATTCAAGTTCTTTCACTCCCTTCAAACTCCACTAGCTGTCAACTGAATCAGAGTATGCCAATTGCATGAGGATGCATATTTTTGTGTAACTTTATGCTTAAATGATTTACTCACTTTTATTTGAAGAACATGGAAAGTTCTGTTTCAGGCATGAATGGACTTTACTTCTGTGACACAAGAAAAAGAAGCACACAGTACCATTAGTCAGCAATAAATTAAATAAGACATAAAGATCCATAATTTAAAGGGGGAACAAAAAAGAAAATGGACAATAAGAATATGCTTTGATATTCAATTTCAACTATTTGATAATACGTATCCAAGATTCTTACAATTTCTCCGTTGATGATGAGTAACTCTCTACTAAGTTCCTGAAGAAGTAAACAAAACATTTTACTATAATGCTTATAAATAAGTATTTGAGTGATAAAACAAGGACAAGAAGAAGAATAAGAAGAAGAAATATTTTTCATTATACTCACACGCTCCCTCGAGGACATTCAATTGGGCTTGAGCTTTCCCATGAGAAATTATTATCAGAAATATCCCTGCAGACAAAATGTGGAAAACATCATGAGCTGTCACGTATATGGTTCAAGAATAGCTTTAGTAAAACAATATCATCATATGATTTCCTTGTGAGCTTAACATGACTTCACAATTGAACGGAGTGAGTTACATTGGTTAATGCGACATTATTTTGCACATCCTATTTAAGATGCTCCAGAAACAAATGGTTCAAAATAAGAATTGCCTACAAGCTGTTTACCAGGAAAACTTTGGGAAGGAGTGGAACTTCAAACTTGAAAATAAATGTCAAGGAAATAAAACTTACACATTCTTGTTCCTTTCAAGCACCCATTCTGGTACAGATCCAGTGAGCTTGTTTCCTGTCAAGTACCTAAGGAAATAATAAATAGTAAATGTTATGCTAGCTCCAAGAGCCTATAGTTGATTATAAATAATAATTACTTGGGAAATCCACTTACATAAAGTCTGCTTTCCCCAAGTAAGAAAATGATGTAGGAATTTCCCCAGTTAAGTTATTGAAGCTCAGATCTCTACATTGATAAGGAAAATCAGATAACATGAGAAGAAAATGGGAAAATAGAAAAACTCAGAAGGAACTGTTTGTTTGCATGTGTATGGTTTTTTGGCTGACATGTTTATTGTCATGAACCAAAGTGATTCAGCAAACTACTTTTAACATTTGTTGTCTTTTTATGTCTGTGGTTCATTTAATGCTTGATATTTTTGTGAGTTGATTCAAACTATTACAGTAATGGCAGCAATGCTTGCTGTTACAACATGCGTGGACTACAAGCTTTTGGTGAAAATTATTCTAACTTTAGGGGCAAAATATTGGTGTACTTGTGCTCTATAACTAGAGTAAGATCTGTATGCAAGTTTTACCCATGCTAGCAGTAGCAGAGGACGGTTCGTGATTCTGAAATTTGCAGAGACTACGGCCATAATTGAAAATCAGACATGGTTCCCAAGTAATGCTTTTCATTACCAAAAAGGCAAAGAAGATCATTACCTTGCACTTTTAAAAAAACATGAGGTGAAAAATTATCAAGTTTGAGTTTATAAACCATTAAAAATCTGCAAATGGAAATTTCAAAATAAGATGATGATTAATGGATATCTTCCAAACGGCAAACTATGAATAATGTCAAATTCTTTTCTTTTTTCCCCTTTTTTGAAGAAATTCCCATACTGAAAACTATTGTAACTATTTAGGACTATTGCTTATGTAATAAACAATTCGCTTCCTTTTTAAATTAAATGTAACAAGACAGAAAAATCTACAAGTAAATTCTAGTCTTAGCTAGGATTATGATGGCCTTTACTGATGGAGATATTTTAAAGCCGAAACAAGCGCATCAAGATACACTACAAGGAAGATAAATGCGATTTTTGTTCCTTGCATAATAAGGAAGACAAAAATCTAAGGACCTACTACTGCCTTTTCCGGTGAAGCTACTTACAGATTTTTCAGTTTTTTCATGTGACCAATATATTCTGGGATCTCATCAGACAGCAAGCAATTCCTCAGTATCCTGCATTTGACAATGATGTTAAATATTTATATCTACTTGAAATGCACAACAAAGGGTGGGAGTACAAGCAGAAAAGGACATTTAATCAGAACAACTCCAACTCACAATGCCTTAATAGATTCCATATTACTCAAAGGTGGGAAAGTTGAACCTTTTCCTTTCAGGTCACTGATTCGTCTGAAAGTCAAAGAAAAGCAAAAGCAATCTCTTAAAACTCCTTGTCTATGAAGCCAAAATAAGAAGTGAGATATTATGATAACATACAGATCACTTAGGTTTTTCAAAGCAGAAATGCTAGAAGGTATAGGTCCCTCAAGTCCGCTACCCTGTATATGCCTGTCAAAAAGATGACAGAATTTAAACCAAAAAGAAAACTCTATATAAATTATCTCAAAAAAATTGTAAACTGTAAAAGCCTCAGGTTGGAAACTCACAGTTTCTGTATATGCGTCCATTTATTGATGAAAGTGGGTATAGTTCCTGAGAAATTATTATCACTTATCCTCCTAAAAGGTGTCAAAAAAAAATAAAAATAAAAAATAAAATAAAAAAAAAAAAACTTAGAAGGTGTTCCAGGTAATTATTTTTACAGATGCAAACACATAGGAAATTACAAACATGAAGAAACTGATTTAAGGAATTCCAGTAAAATTGTTATTGGTAAATGTTGTTGTTTTACATCATTAGAGCATAAACAAAAGGTTGGAATACTTAAACAATCACAATTACAATAAATAAAAATTATTGGCAGCAGAATCAGTTGGAATAATTTATCAGCTCGTTTTCCCGGTGAAATCCAATTCAAAGTACAGATATTAATGTAGGTCATATAGTTGTTTTGTGATTTCAACTAAAAAAATACAACAAGCTGTCTACTTACATATCAGTCAAGTTGGTCAACTTGCTTAGTTCTGTGGGCAATTTTCCTGTGAAAGCATTTGATGAGAGAATACTGAAGAAAAGATAATAAATAAGTACGACGTCGAAAATAGATCAAGTTCAATAATCAATGGGCATAAAGAAGACAAGGACTTACAATTTCTGTAGATTGATTAATTTTCCAATTTCTCGTGGAATGGATCCTGAAAACCTATTTCCCTCAACGCTTCTGCAACATATAAGCATTAATGTCATATCTTATAAAACAATTCAAGTCTATGTTTTACAGAATTTAATTTCAAATATAAGCTTTGTTTATAGAAATGAATTTATTTGTAAATTTTTATCCACAAATTATATTTTATTTAATTATATTGAATTCTATAAAATTAGAGGTTGTTTGGTATAAATGCATTCCATAAAACTTCAAGGAATTAATTTATAAATTCATACTTGTGGTTTCTTATGAATGAAAATTCATTTTTATTCTATATTTTCAATTTTATGAAATTGGTTATACATGAGCCAAATTCTACTAAAATTAATAGAATTTGTAACTGAACTTCAAACTTAAAAAAGCTACAAGCTAATAAAGCTAATGAATTTTAAGAATATGTTAAAAAGCTACACTTTAGAGAAAAAGATAATGGCAACCATTTGTTGATTTGTTGATTTCATTTATTGATTTCATTTATACCAAACAAGCCTTGGGTAAAACCATTTGTATATTTTTTCCAAATTCAATCTTTCACAAATAGTAATCATCAATAAATCATTAGAATTAAAACAAGAAAAGGAACAAAAAAGAGAGAGAATTCAACATACAGGTTTGTGAGAGTGGTGATGTTGGTAAGAACTTTTGGAAATGAACCAGACAATCGATTCCCCATAAAAGAGCTACACGAACATAAGAAAATAATACATTATAGGCTAGTTTATATGGTTAAAATAGAGAGAATCAAAGAACAAAACAGAGTATACTTACAGATTGACTAAGCGCAGGGTAGCCCATTGAGAAGGTATAGACCCAGTGAAGCAATTGCGACTGAGGTCCCTGTTTAACAGTCGAGTGATGGGTCAAGCTATAACTGAAAAGTATTTATATTACCAATCATTCAAAGAGAAAACTGTTATATCCTTACAGTAGTTGAAGGTGGCGAAGCTTGGAAAACTCTGGTGGGATAGTTCCAGATAGGTTTTGAGCCTTTAAGGCACTGCACACATTCATGCAATAAATTATAACGTCAATAACTCAGAAACAGCCTCAAATTATTAAAAAAAAAATCATATATTATTTCAGTTTTCAGTTTTTTTTTTTTTTTTCCTTTTTATGCTAAAGCAAGTATTTTTAATATACTATAAAATGAATTTTCATTTCTTTTTATTTAAAAAAATTAAATTGGCTATTCTCAAAAAAAAAATAAAAAAAATAAAAAAATGAACTGGCCAAATTAGTGAGCTTAAAGGAGGTTGCTCTGCTCTGTAATATTATTTTAGTTTATAGCTCCGCTGATAAATAAAATAAAAAAGGAAAAAAAAAACTTGGAGTGCTGAGAAAAAGAAGGAAAAAAGATTGAGGTTTTATTTTATTCCTTTAAGGAAACGTCTTTTTAAATAATAACTTTTTTTAGTATTTCCTAGTTTGAAAAGATTTTATTTTTGAAATTAGTTTTTAAATAATAACCTTTAATTTTTGGGTCAATAAAATCCAATTTTTGTTGAATTAATATAAAAAAATATTTTAACACATTTAAAAAGAAAAATAAAAAATTGATATTTAATACTATAAACGATAAACATTGATTTCTGGAAAATTAAAATTGATTTTTTATATTTTATTTTTCTCCATTTTTCTTTTATTGGACAAGGTAAAAAATATGTAAAAATAAAAAATAAACATGTATAATTTTGTTTCTTTTGAGTTTTTCGTTGATAAATTGAATTAAGTAAACATAACTATGATGAATTTTGATTGTTTGTGGTATTATACAATATGTTAAAAACTTTCATTTGAATTAAATAAAATAGTCTTGCAATTCTCTTTTTTTTTTTTTTTTTTTTGTAAACATAAATATGATGAATTTTGATTGTTTGTGGTATTATAACAATATGTTTAAAAACTTTCATTTGAAATTAAATAAAATCGTCTTGCAATTCTCTTTTTTTTTTTTTTTTTTTTTTTTTTTTTTTACCTTTGAATTTTTATCTTTTAAAAAAAATGAGAATAATGTTAGTATATTTTTATACAAACAATAATTGGATTTAAATGATCCAAAAATAAAGGTACTGTAAACATCAACTTTAAAAAAAAAAAAAAGAAGCTTTCATTGCTTCAATCGCTTTCCAACCCCACGTGTTTGCAATATTTTTAACTTTCTTAACCGGAGATAATGAATCCCTACAATCTCCTCCAAATATCTTAAGTGGATCCCACACAGAAAATGACCCTACAGCGGAACCATCGAATGAGGCATGGCCCAATTATCACAAACCCACGCGGCCGCCGCTGGCCACCGGCCTCCGCCACCACTATCCCCACCCCAAACAAACACACAGGAGAAATTTATCAAACAGGTAGCAGCAGACAATAATGGCTAAAGAAGAGTAATACATGCTTACTACACGGCAAGTCGTATTGTTATTGAAGCTGCAATTACAGTACACGCTGCTCTCAAATCCTTTCCTTTCATCCAAAACTCTCCAATTCCCTTCTCCACTGCATGGATCCTTCCCGAAATCCCAATCTTTCTTCCCTAGTTTCTTCGCTATATCTTTCAATACCTTAACTGCAAAAATTAATTAGTAAATATGTAACCTTAATAGAAGAATCAATACTAATTATGGAAAGCGGAGAAGATTAGAAGAAAGCTGAAGATGTGTTAACTACATTAAATTATTGCAGTACCTTCTGATGGGTGAAGCTTAGCAGTGGCTGCAAATCCAAAGGAAAGAAAAGAGAAGAAGGAAATGGAACAGATTATAGGAATAAGAAGCAGCTTTGGACTTGCCAAATGAGTTCTCATTTCTTTCTTTTTTTTTTCTTGCTCTTTTTTTTTTATGAGCTCTGAAGCTTTTTGGCTTTCCTCTCAGTTGAGAAAAAGAGAAAGAAGGAGACAAGATTTATTATAGAAAGAGGTGTAATGAATGGACGAGGACCAACTGTGACAATATTTAGTATTAGACTGTATTATTTAATGATTACGATCATAGGGCAGCATTTTTTTTGTATAATAATATTATAACATGCGTGTTTAAAGCCAAGTGGTCAATCTCTGATTGTTGTTTACATTTGTTAATCAAGGTTATTTTCTTATAATTAGTACTTGTCAACAGCTGATGGATTTTATCCCTTCCCTCAACATTCTTTAGCTTGTATTTGTAATTGTAATTCTTGCTCCCTATAAATTGCGTTGCTCGTAATGTCTTGACCCAGTTTGCATTGGAATTTTGTATGTCTATTTCGATAAACAGTGCAGATTGTAATATATTTAATATGTTTTTTACATAGTATCTAATGGAGAAAAAATATAATTAATTTTTTTTAGTATAATTAATGTCAAGTGTTATATACACTTACTCTTAGTGTGCAGTATAATTAATTTTAGGATTATATTATCTTTTGCCTTTTTCTTTTTTTGTTTCTAGATTTGTCATAAGTCAGCCAAATTCCAACGAGGACTATGTGGGAGCTGGGATTTTTGAATGTCAGCTAAGCCTATGTTATTCGCAACTGTGCATTCAGGGATTAGATCCTCAAATTTTATATGCACTTATTATATTGATTGGTCACTAGATTTTTTTTTTTTTTTAATATTTAGAAATGGATCTAAACTTGGATCAATTGTCAAGATATATATACACTTATGATTAACTATATTTTGGTGTGTGATTGGTCACTAGATTAATAAATTGAGACCGAAGCAAAATTTATATACGAGAGAATTGAAATATAAGCAAAATTTATATACGAGAGAATTGAAATTAGTATATATATATATATATATGATATTTTTTTTTTTTTTTTTTTTTTGTTTTTTTGAGAATGTATGTTTTAATACTTGAGAGAGCGAAATCTAATCTAATATATAATATATGTAAGGGTTAATTATCACTTTTTTTGTACGTTAAATAGTATGCATAGAGAATATTATATAATTTGCACAATCAACTGTAATTACAACAATATCACAGTTGATTAACCCCTGATATAACAATATCAAAATTTTCATGGCCTAACCCAGAAGGATTATGAATGCATATTACAGTTAAAAAATTAAAAATATAATTAATAAAGTGTTAATTGAAATTGCAAATGATTTTAATATTTTAAAAATAATAATACATTTTTTAATAACCATTTCGATATTGTAATCATTTTTTAAAAAATGGATTCTTCAATTACTTATTTGCTTGTAATTCCATATGATCACCCTACGTGAATGTGAAACTGACGTGGCTGGCGATTTTCTTTCAACCGAACTCATATCATTCATATGTATAACTCTTTTTTAATTTATTTCTTTTTTTAAACTGGCCTAACTCATTAACTCTTGTCATGTGTAATGTAAGTCATTCCATTCCTTGCTCACGTGCTTTTGTTGGGTATTTTTTTAAAAGAATTTTTAGTATTAAGTTATTTCACGTTATTAGTTAATAATACTTTATATGTAATTTTTAATATATAGTATACATAATGTATCTGTACCTAAGACTGATTATATTATACTAATTAATTCATATTAGATTCACTATTTAATACAGCGATGAATTTTTCATTGAGAAATCCGATGCACTGACGTAACATTGCATGTTATATAATAGGAAATAATCATTCTCTGAATTCACTAAATCTGTAAAAATATTTGTGATAAAATAGTTCGAATTTAAAATCTTTCACTTCTCACGCAAGTAAAAATACTTCTCGATCGATTTTTTTCAATATTAACACGGCGGTTATCAACAAAATATAGACGGCTAATATATTTCCATCAGCTTCGATTCTGCAGGGTTTGACTTTGAACGTAAAGGAGGGTTTGAAGTTATGATTTTAGGCTTCAAAATCAATTGTCCATTTCCAATAAGAGTAGTAGGCGTAGCAAGCAAACAAAGAAAGCCGACAGTCATAGTTCAGTTTAAAGCTATACGCGTTTTATGGTAGGGAACAGATAAATAGTTACCAGTTTGACAGCGAAAGAAGTCTATCCTTATTCAACGCCAACCCATTACAAAATTAATAGGTACGGATTTGAGTTTACCATGTGATTATCTTATTAATCACTACTCATGATTTAATCAAAATCACCTATGATTCATATTACTAGGAGGTAAATTTTTTTTCTGTATTTATTAATAATACCTATTACCCAATTTTAACAAAATTCTCACGTTCATTGGGAGTTAAAATTAGTAGGCATTCTACTTTTTATATTTTAATTAATGAATTATTGCAAGTCTTTTTGTATTTAATTTTTGACACATTGATTTATGATATTTATTTCAATTTACCCTAGTTGTGATACGAATATCCTAGTTGTGATACGAAATCATTTATATAATAATATTATATAATATAAATAATATATATATATATATATATAATACAGCTAAAAGTATAACCTCATCCTCTCCTTAACGGGAGAAACGAATAGACTAATTCCTTTTAAGGCGAAAAATAAATATGTTAACACAGTCCCTCTAACATTCCATTTTCATATTTTATATATACTACTAAAAGTATACTCTCATCCTCTCCTTAACGGGAGACGATAGACTAATTCCTTTTAAGGCGAAAAATAAATATGTTAAAAGTCCTCTAACATTCCATTTTATATTTAATGCACTTTAACTATTAGATTAAGGTTGTGCTCGAAAGTCAAAACGCTAAATGCTATTTTTCATAATGTCGTTAACATTGAATTTGAATTGCCTTTTAAAAGTTAATGTAACATTCTATGAAAAGTTAATCAATGTAACATTTAGTTTTTAGTATTTCATAAAAAGCTATTCGAACAGTTATATCAAAACAGTTAACAGTTATAAAAAATAATACGCATTCAAAATAGTTATTATTTTGCATTTAATAATATAGAATTTCCAAATTCCCTTCATAAGAAAAAAGGGCAAAAACGCGTGGAGACGAAAGAGAAAGGCGTCTTGTGGGGTATGAAACGTTCGCGTTCATCTTTGATTTTTGATTTGAGCCATAGACACGAGCGACAGAGTGTGATTGCTAGCTGGCTCTCCTTGTCTTATTTGTATCATTGACTTTGACTTACTCAAGTGACGCAGCTTTTAAAATCACTATTCAAAACTCACTCACGCAGACATTTTCCAAATAAAAATGTTTGCCTAGGCTTTGCGAAAACAAATACGAAATATGGTACGTTACTATGTTTTAAGACGGTGTCGTATGTAATCCTTCCATCCCTACAGTATAAGTCTAGAAGCATACAATACAAGGGACCTCATACAATACAATGGGAAACCATAGTGGAAAGCATTCTAGGTAGCTAATTGACAAAATTAGAAGAACAAGAGTGCTATAGTGGAATGCATGAAAAGTTTTGGAGGTTCTGCCATTTGTATTTTTATTATAGGTTGAATTATTTTTTAGTCCTTGTATTATAACATATTACACTAATTAAAACTTTTATCTTTAAAATTTAATTTAAGAGTCTTTGTATTTCATAACCAAGTTCAACTAGTTAGTATATTTTTTCCACTAAACAATTATTAATAACTCAAAAAAAATTCAACAAATGCATATATGTTTTTGAAAATTACCTTTATTTATTATTTTTCTTATTCTTCATCCATCTTTATTTTTTTCTTAACCTTCTAGTTGAAAAATTAAAAAATTAATAAAAATACTGTTATAAATAGAAGGTGATAAAGTGTAAGAATTATAATTATTTTTTAAAAAAATAGAGATCTTAACTGATATAATATCTCGAGCTAAAAGGTAAAATTAAAATTTCAAAATAATTTAATATAAAAATTTAAGCTCAATACATAAAATGACACATAAACTTTACAAAAATAATTAAATAGCATCCTCAATTTTTAAATTGATTAATTAAATCTTTCAACTATTAAAATTACATCTATTAACGCTTCAATCTATAATGTTTATTATATTCAATTACTAAATATATGTTAAATAAGTGCAAGATTTTACATATTTTTTTATAAATTATTAAAAAATAAATTTATATATTTTTAATCATTTAATAAATGTTCAACGTACACTTTGCAACTTAAACTCTACAACAGATATAATATTATAAATTAAAATATTCAAGATGTATAATTTTACTAGTTGAATAATTTAATAGGCCATGTAAACGTTAAAGTTACTACCAAACTTTTCTTATAAAATATCGATGAAAATTTTATATATTTGGCTAGAAATTTAATATAAAGATGCCATAATTGGATAGAGCTAAAGTATGGATACTATTAAGTTAATTTTGGAAAGTACAACTATTAATTAATATATTTAGCTATAATAAAGGATTAAATAGTAACTCACCTTTTAAAGAAATAACTATTTAATTTTTTAAACTTGATCATTATATTTCCTATCATTTCTTATTGGTGTTGAAGTTTTGCTCCATTAAGTCCTTTATCTAAAAATATCATTTTTATTGTTAATTAGGAGACTAAATAATTTAATAGCAAATGCGAGAAACTAAATAGTAACACTATATTAAATATGAACGATAAAATAATTGAATGCTAAATAGTAATTAATCTATAAAATGACACTATTTGGATTTAAGAACTAATTATAGTTCAATAGAATTGAATTTTAGGGACTAATCAGTATATTTAGCAAATAAGAGAGATAAAATTATAATTATAACAAATCTAGAAGGACAACATGATTATTTGTTCTCAATATATAGCATGTTTTCCTAAAATGTGACATTTTTTTTTTTATAAACCTTCACTTGGCCCTCCATTTGGCATTTCTTCCTCTTTTATTTATTATCATAATAATTATTCTCAATTACTTCTCATTAAAACATATACTTTGAGAAAATGAAATAATTATTTTTATCATAATATTGATTTTTTATTGATTATTATAATTTAAATTAAAACATAAATTTACAAGATATTTTGCTATATTTATTACATTAAATTTTGAATATCCCAAATTATAAAATTATTTATTTACAAATAAATTTTATATAAATATTGATCAACAAAAATTAAAATGTTAAAATTGAATAATAATATTAAATATTTATTAGCACAATCAAGTGGCTAGTTACGAGGAAATCTGGATTACTTATAATTAGGCAGCGGAAGCAGCACGCGACTTAGCGGTTGCTCTTTGCAAGGAAAGGAGAGAAGTGCGATCCCATTCCATTCCACAGCCTTAAAGGCGAAGGAATCGCTTCATTTTCGTCTCTTTGACTCTCTCTTTAAGCTTCTCTTCTCTTTGTAAAATTAATCAACCGAAAAAGAAGATAATTTAGAGAAAAATGGGACTTTTATCTAATAAGATCGGAAGAGATGAGCTGAAGCCAGGAGATCACGTATACTCTTGGAGGCTCGTTTATGTATACGCCCATCACGGTCTGTATCTATATTTCCATTTTTCATTTTTTCTTATTTAAGTCTAAAACCTTTGCAATATTTAATTTTGATCTCTACTTGTTCGGCATTTTGATTTCAATTTAGCATTCTACAGTCTGGTATGGTAGTGTGGTGTCAAATTTATCTTTTAGTGTGCTGTCAAATTATTCCTCATTGAAATTTGAGTTCGTATTTTGTAGTTTATAGCATTTTTTATGGGATTTTGATTGTGAAACTAATTATGGAGACCCATTATGCTGATTGGTGAAGTATCTTCAGTATTCTGTTTGTTTCCCGCATTACATTGGTGTAGTGAAGTTTGAATATTGGAGTATAATGGTTGAGAATTTGATGAGAGTTATAGATTTGCAAGAGCAGTTGCATTTCTATAATCCAATTAAGGTGGATTATATTAAAGATCATCTCTTTTCAATTTCTAATTGGTTGCGAGCAATTATCTTACTCTTATATCTCTATCTTTGTTTATTTGAAATTGCGATAGAATCATCTTGCTTCTTTTAATATATTTAGGCATGTAGTTGGCTGCCCACTACATACCCCCCACACGAGTGCAAAGGCATCCATTAGGTGATGGTTGGTCAGGGAGAAGGAACAAGATTGTATTTGAATTTGGATCAGAATAGATGAGAATTCTTTTCGAATTCTGTTTAATTTGGCAAATTATCATTAGTATTCGATTTACTTTTGTTACTGACATTAGTGTGCTAAACTTTGAATGCTGGAGTTTAATGGTTGAGAATTTGATGAGACACATAGATTCATCTATAATCCAGTTGATGGAGTATATTATAGATATTTTCTTTTCGATTTCTGATTGGTTGGGAGCAGTTCTCTATTCTTATAAACTCTGTCTTTGTTTATTTCCAAATTGTGATCGAAATATCTTCCTTTCTTTCATTATATTCAGGCATGTTTATGTAAAAATGTACTGTCCGAGTTCTTTGATTAAGATGCTCCCCTCATAGGAAGTAGACCAGACCTGTTTGGAAAATAGTTAGAAACATTATTTCATGGATGGTTTATGGAGAAAGAACAGGATTTTGTATGAATTTGGATCAGAATAATTTGTAATAGTAATTAATGTGTTTAATATGATCCGATCTATATATTTGACTGATACTTAAAAAAAGAAACCATCTCTAGTTTTGAATTTAAGTAATGGACTAGAAAATTAGGCCTTGTTGGTTTATGCTAGGAAACGTGATTCGGTTTACTGCATAATAAGTTACTGCATAAAATTCACGATTTGTGGGCTGCAGGGTGCAGGCTAATAGATTGGACTTGTATCACTTCATTTTGGTTTTTAACATTGTTGGTCATGTATATTCAATTCATGCTATTGAATTCTATTTTAGGATTTTATCATTAAATTGAATAACCACTAAGTACAAACCTATTGCTATGAATGTATCTTATCGCTGTGAATAAAAAATATTTTAAATTTTGAAATCTCAACCGTCTATTTCAATATGGATGAAATTAAAATGATTTTTTAAGTTTAACCAGTAGGGGAGGATCTCAGTCTGATGGGTTAGGAAGGTGTAGGGTTAGTCATGTTTCGATTGATTCAAAATTTTATTTGAACGCACACCTTTTCTATGCTCATTTTTGAGTGCTAACTTTAATTTCTTTATTAATTCTTTATTGGGTCTCTAGATGGAAGTTCCTCCCTTCCCATTCTGTTTGTTAATGAGAAACTACAAAAAGCAGCCAGATATAGTTTAAGCTTCAGTTGTAAATCACTATGATAAATGATGAATGTATGAAATTCTCAAAACCACGACCCATCATTATTGTCTCAGTATACCAGTTTGGTATCAATAATATAAAGAAAAGAAAATCTACATTGATGTTGTTTAAGTGGAAGTCAGAAATGTTTTGAGTTTAAATTCTCACAAGTGGCTTTGCTGAATTCAAAGTTTTAATCTCTTTGCGATCTCAGTTTTCTTATGGTTTTAATGGTTTATTATGTTGCAAGTTTCCTAATTGTAGATAATTCTGATGAGGATTCTTTGGATTGTTTGTGACATAAAATTGTGATAAACTTAGTTGTCAGTGTGAATTTGTAAGATCATAAGAACTAGGAGTTACTAATACAGAAAACATTTTGGTAAGGAGATGGTGTGAAGATCCAATCAAGAAATTTGCTCAAGTGCCATAGTTGATTTGAGGAAAGCCCTTCTTGCAGTAACGGTGCATTCCCCACTTTGCTTAGTAAAGTAGGAAATGTGATGCAGGAGCATCCAAATCAAACTGGGAAGTTTTTTAGTTTTCCTTTTTGAATTAAGGTGTTCCTATATAGCATGTATTCAGTTAATTAATTAGAAAACATTTTGGGTTTCCTTCTTTATTCATATATAATCATATTTTGTTCTAACTAATATAAATAGAATGACAACATTTAGTTTATGTTTGTGCTTGGAGCAACTTTAGCTAACCAAACAGATTATTTGATGGAAGTTTCCCATGGGGTTGAAATATACCTCCAAGCAACATTTCTAATTAATAGAAAGCTTTTGTAAATAAGTAAAAGTCTGTGCTGAACCAACTTTGCTTGCTCAGAGAAAGGATAAATTATTTGAATGCGTTGTGATGTCGTTTGCTCTTGCAAAAGTTCCAAGCACGTGGTATTCTAAAGAGGAATTTAGGCGAAGTGATCTTCTTCTTATGGTTGATATACCTAAAATATTTTCTTGTTGGAGCTAAGTTCTTTTCAAACCCGAGGAGAATGATGCTGAGTTCTTCTGGTTGATATTATTGGAAAAATTATAATCATGCATTTCAAAGTTTTTTATTTCATTTTATTGATATCTGCAATTTAGCAATTGTACATCACAAGTTTGTTTACACTTTTGTTGGAGATGTATTACATAAGTAACTTGCTGTCCATGTATGTATGTTCAGCATCTAGTGATGCAATTGTCAACAATAACAATGAAATTTTCCACCATGACTAACTTGTATCTGATTTCACTCTAGGGATATATGTTGGGGATGGAAAGGTTATCCACTTCACTCGTGGAGCAGGTCAGGAAATTGGGACAGGCACTGTGTTAGACCGTATTATTTTCAGCTCTTCTCCCTCTCATCCTTCAGACAATCCATGCCCGAACTGCGGTGATCAATCAAGACTTGATGGTGTTATCTCATCCTGTATAGACTGTTTCCTTGCGGGTGGGAATTTGTACCTCTTTGAATATGGTGTCTCTCCAGCCTTCTTTCTTGCCAAAGCTAGAGGAGGGACCTGCACCCTTGCTGCTTCTGATCCACCCGAAGATGTCCTGCATCGGGCTTTTCTCCTACTGGAAAAAGGTTTTGGTGTCTATCACATCTTCAAGAACAACTGTGAGGATTTTGCAATATACTGTAAGACAGGCCTACTCATATTCACAAGCATCAGCGTTGGTCGGAGTGGGCAGGCAGCATCCTTTTTAGCTGCTGCCAATGCTATTATTTCTTCACCACTTCGATTTTTAACGACCAGTGTTAGTGGGTTGGCAGCTGTTAGTTGTGGTATGTATTGTGTTAGCCGGTTTATTTCTGACATTGGAATACGTCGAGATGTGACCAAAGTGTCTGTTGAGAGACTCGTTTCTCAATCCAGTTTAGAAGAGCTGGACATTGCAGCCGATGCAGCTAAGGATAAGTAATCTTATTTTACCAACAGCAAATTATGTGGATCAAAAAAGAAATATATCTATCTGGTTGATATTTGTGACTGTAAGTGCAGAAAACTTGTTTAATGTTTGTTGTACAATGCTTCTAACAATGTGTTATTCTTATTTGTTGGCCACACAGTTTATTTGTTTATAGGGAGTGATTTGCTTAGACTGGGTTCATGGCTCCACTTATGAATCAAACCAATAAAAATATGAATTTTTGTTGAAACGAGAGTATTTTTGACCATGTATTAGGGGAAAAAAATGATTAAATAAGAATAATTTTTAAAAAAATTTCTATTTTCATTGATTTGATTCATTGGTAAATCAAATGGAGCCAGTCTAGCCAAATATAATCTAAATAATCTTAAACTACTCATGGCAAGTATAATCCTAAATCTAACAATTTGTTGTTGTACTTTAAACGATATTTATTAATGTATATAGTTCATTTAAAAATTATAGGATTTAGTTTAGCAATACTAAATTTTGCAAATTGAATTTATAACAGTTGATAAAAAATGAATGTTTTTAATTTTAGCAAATATAAAAAGTATGAATCTCAAATGAATCTAATGAAATTTTCTAAGTTTATTTATACCAAACAAGAATAGAATTTGATTCTAAAGCTAGTGCATGATTCATCAACTGAAATGTAATTTAATTTCATCAACCTTAGAATATTTGCTCTCTATAGAATCTTAATTTGGGTACGTGAATCTATTGCAAAATTTGTAATAAAAATGACCCATTACCTCCATAATAATTTATGGCTTTCGCTTTTAAATGGTTAAATAATTTACCTAACCATTTAAATAAGAAAAATAAATTGACAATTAGAAGTAAAATAATCGAGGGAGCTCAGAATTATTATTAGGATGAAGTTTCCATCGCATACTATTCTTTTTTTAAAAAAAATAAAATAAATATTTGGTATCCAAAATTTATTTACCCGATTAATTTAGATTTGCAACAGACAAACCTACGAAAAGGGTGAAATATTTTCTCCCGAGTATTTAAAGAGGCTTTTTAAACTTAAAGACCCCTCGCTTATATTGGTTTGGCATCTTTAAATATGTGAAAAGCATATATGCAAGTTAGTTAAAATATGATCAAATCTAGGAAATGGTGTAGGAATCTTCTGTATAGAAAATGGAGGAGAAATAGAATCTTCTGTGCAGAAAATGGATGAGAAATGGGAAGGAAGGATGCTTTGGAATCCAGGCACAGTAGACAAGCACATGTGAAATGTTGGTTTGGCAACACCCATTAAGAAGGAAAAGAAAAAGATCGATCATCACACACTTTATCTTTTTTCCACTCATTTTTCCATTGCGGGAATATGAATATTAGGCTCCAACTTTCCCAGAAGCTAGAGGATTCTAGTTTATCCAAAAACTCTAAATTACTATAATATTTTTCACACAGAACACCGATTCCTAAAACCATGTGACCTATATTCTTTAAAAGGAGGAAAGCTTACATGGAAACTACTATATAAGAGCATTACAGGTGGTATAAAGCTCGTCATACCATTAATTCTAGTACTACTACACAGTAGATAGAGGTTGAAGAAGAGAGATATGCGACCCACAGGAAGAGGCAATTCTACAGAGAGCTCAAGTAGCAGTATTCTTAAGCAATGGAGCTCACCCCTTCCATATGTATTTGTAGGTTTAGTAATAATCTTAGGGCTCATGTCTATTGCTTTGGTCATTCTTGCTTGCTCTAATTACAAGTCATCGAGTTTGTTATCCAGACAAAAAGAAGAAGAGGAGCCCAAAGAGACAACAGCCACAGTAGTTGCTATGGAGCCTAAAATTGTTGTGATCATGGCCGGTGATCACCATCCAACCTATGTGGCTAAACCTTCTGCTCTAAATTGCCATAACCTTTCTAGTTAGATAGAAAAATAGACATTTGTCTTAAAATATTCACATGGATGGTTTTAGACTTCTGTGTTTCTTGCCTGAGAAATTCTTAGGTATTGAGTTTTCTGATTTTAAGCTAATCTTTAGAAATATAATAACAAAGTTGATTAATTATAGTTAGAAAAGAGATGTACTATATGTAAGAAAGTTTATATAGTCTTTTGTGTACAAAATTATGTAAATGTATGAGATATAGATTTATACTTCGTGTATTTATATTTTGATAACGTATAACTTTTAACATTTTAATTAAAATTTTTTGACAATATACTCGTTGTTTTTTCCTTCGAATTTAACTAATTAAATAATTAATATCTTTTATCTTTTTCTCCGGATTTAATCAATTAAACAATTAATGTCATTTTTTATCATTTTAAATTAAACAATTATTGATAATAAAATAATTAACAGCTATTAAAACGAGTAGAACACTTCTAAAAGGCACAAGTTGTGCTTGACACAATTTCTTTAAATTAACTATAATAATCTTAATATAATAACTATGACTTCAGCAACGCTCTACAACATCGTATCACTAACAGTAAAATAGAAACATAGTTTAAATTTTTTCTGATATTGTCATCTTTTCACCACATTGTACTGTAGTTGTGCTGGCACATACTGTGCCAAAAGTATTTATTGAAACAATGAATATTACTGAACAGACTCTATAAATAACATATCTATAATATATGCATGTATGCGTCTGCACAAACATAAAAATAAAGGTATACATCGGAAGAATTGGAAGTAAAGTACATATGTGGGTTAGCAATAAACCCTCAAAAGCAAGCATCCAGACAGCAGTAGCAACACCAGCCAGCACAACTACATAGAAAAAACATTATTTCATTAGCAGAATAAAAATTTTTGTGTGAAATGATTCTTTTTGTATGTAAATAATTACATATAGCAGAAAGAGAGAGATATTACCATCCCCTCCAAAACCCATCTCCCTTGGACTTAGTTTGGCTTGGAGAATGAGGAGGAGAGTGATTACCATTTTTTGTTGGATAATTTGCTGGTGATGGAGCTACATATGGATTTGGAGAGGTTGCAGGAGGATATGAATCTGCATAATTAAATATATAAACTTATATCCCTTTGTTTGATGTAAAATGATTCAAATTTAAAAAAAATACCTGCTTGAGTTTGGCTGCTCATTCTTGAAAATCAGAGCTCTTGACACAAGAAATTAAGGAATAATGTAGATTAGTGGAAAAGAGAGGAGATGAGAGGTTAAGAGATTTTTAATTTTACAGCAGACATAAAAATGGAGAAGATGTAGTGGAGTGGTTGTATTGTATTTGCTGTAGCTACTCCAATAATACAATACAGTGTTGTTTTCCTTATTACTGTTTCTTTTTTTTTAATTATTATTTAAAGAAAAGGTTACAGGATAGAATTGATTTTGACCCTGGAGTGGTTGTATTGTATTTGCTGTAGCTACTCCAATAATACAATACAGTGTTGTTTTCCTTATTACTGTTTCTTTTTTTTTAATTATTATTTAAAGAAAAGGTTACAGGATAGAATTGATTTTGACCCTTAAACTTTTTTTTTTTTTTTAATTTCATTAGGTCCAAAATAAAATTTTAAATTATTTTAGGACAAAAATATTATATAATATCTATTCTAAGAAGAGATATGTTACAAGATGACATCATTTGTGGGGTGGGTGGGGATGATGAGCCTTCCAGGAAGTTTCTTTAACTAGATCGGTATCGATGATCCAAAGTTTTTATATATTAATTAAAATTCAAGAGAACTTTAAAACCAAACACATTGCTTTTCTCTTTATAGATATTAAAAAAAAAAAAAAAAAAAAAAGCAGTAATTTAGTCATATTTTAAAAAAAAAAAAAAAAAAAGAGTAATTTAGAGTATTTTTCAAAATTGAAAACTTTCTGAATAGCCTAATGGACTCCAAAATAATTTTAAAGTAAAAATATTAGAATTGTAAATGGGCTAAGTCGAGTTCAAACTTGACTCATTTCAAAATAGTTAAGCTCAAACTTAGCTCGAGTGGATTTAATTGGTTTTATTTATTGAGCTAATTTATGAGTACGACTTAGCTCGACAAAATTGATTTACGAGCTAATGAGCTAGGCTTAAATTTGGCTCAATAAGTTTATGAATGAATTTGAGTAAATTTTTATCGAGTTGAGTTTTGAATAGCTCACAAATATTTTAATAGTTATATTAAAATATTCATATTAATATGCAATCAAGAAATATCTATATAATTTTATTAATTAACAGAAATATTTTTTTATAGCACTAAATCGCAAATTGAACTGTGACAGACCATTTTATTATTGTTTGATTTGATTAAATGATTTGATTTAATTTTGCTTATTATGTCCAACTTAAAAAATTCGGGAAAACGCTAATATTATGTCCAATCCAGCTTAATTAAACTCAGTCGAGAACGTGGTTAACAAAAAATAAGCCAAGCCTTCGAGCAAAACCCATTGTCCAAATTTAAGTGGATCTTTGGCCCATCTCAGGCTCTTTTGCTTAAAATGATAATATAATAAATAAATAAATTAAAAGGGTGATTATTTTCAGTACCTATAATTTAATAAAATTTTTTAGATACATCGGAGATCCAATGGACTGAAATAGGACTAGTCCTCCCTTTCGAATAACATTCACTAAATGGGAGATAACTTTTGTAGTGTAAAATACTCGAACTTAAAACCTCTCATTCCTTGCATCTTTAACATAAGGTAAGAATACCAAACAACCGCACTTAATTGATATAATTTAATAAAATTTATAAGCTAGAATTTTCATTTTTAGAATAACTAAATAATCCATTTATTTTATAAAATTTAATGGGGGATAAATTTATCGTTGTTATATGAAAGTGGAGCTCATAACACCATCACTCGATAAAAATTAAAAAAAATTAACAAAAGGATTATTTAGTTGAAAAACAAGAAAAGAAATTGCAAGATCCAATTGAATTTTAAAAATAGAAATCTTGAATTTTTAATTTTACCAAATTATAGAAACTAATAGAATTTTTTTCAATTTTTATATTTATATTTTTTATTCTTAAGAAAATATTATAATGCACTCATATTATATTTTTTTATAAATAAATTATCAATTTTATTCAAAACATTTATATATTACATTTCATAAATATCCCCAAATATGAAATTGGCTTTGCTATTGTGTTTTAGAGTTTGCTTTTCCTTGTTGTTTAGATATTTTTGGCTTCTCTAGTTTTTCACATCTCTTGCATGACGGTGGAATACACAAATTCACCTCTAAACTTTACAATTTTCACCTTGTGACATTTAGAATTTTACAAATGACCTATCGTACACTTAAAATTATAAATTTTAATAATATTACACACCTTTAGATATTAATATTAATAATTTTTAAGATTTTTTATTTACATCTGCAAAATATCAACTTGATATGTTGTTAACACGACTTTTAGAATAATAATTGTCGTAAATTTTAATTTGTTAATGAGTATTTAATTGAATCTATAAATTGAAGTGTTCAATAAAATAATTTAAAATTTTTAAATATTTAATAGGTATAATTTTATAAATTGAAATGTTTAATAAATGTAAATAAAAGCTAAGAGTGTCACATAATTAAAATAATAAAGTTTATAAGTAAATTTATGTAATCCGCCCTTGCATAATGTATAAAAAAAATTATTCTTTTTTAAAAGAATTATTAAGAGTGTCGTACATACATATTCCATTCAAAGAGACGTCCGTGGTGTAGCAGATCATCAATTATGATATTGTCCCGTCGTTTTGGTTTTTTTAACATTTTAATGGGCATAATATTAATTTCTTTTTCTTCTTTTTACGCTTATATATGAAAATAAAATACAAAAAGCCTAAAGCAATAGAATCAGATCTCCAGCTTAGAGAAAGTTGTCCTATTAGCACAAAACGACATGTTGGATCCTCACGTGGGGGCCAAGAGAGAGGGGAACGTCACGGTTGGGATAATACCAAACGACAAGTAACAAGAATAATTGATGGGCCAACGATGTCGGTTGAGAGAGCAGAAGAGGGCATATAGCAAGTGGGGAACAGCCCAATTCGTGCTTACTACAATGGGGACATGGAGTGCCCCAAACCTAATTCTCTAATTAAGTTCGTTTTGTTCCTTTATCTTAAGGGCTCCACCTTTTTGATTGGTCAATTATTTCTGCTTAATTACAGCTAATATTTCTCTTTTCACTTTCATGTTCAAATAGTTTTTAATAACGATAAAAAATTTGTATAATTTAAAGTGTTATAAAGTTAAAGTTGTAAAATTTAAAAGTGAATTTATATATTCAGTCGATCATTATATTCTATTTCTTTATCATGTCATGTCAATTTTGTGCATTATAACACGTAATTTGACTTAAAAAAAGTTTCACGAGTTGATGTGGATGAACACGCGAGCATGAAGAGATAAAACTCATATGCTAATTTTGTTTCACCGTGCTTTGACCTTTTTCAACTGATCAATTTTATATGTTCAAGAATATATGTAGATGCATTATTTTTGAGTTTGAATTATACACATGACCGGTCGTATTCTAGATTTTAAGAATTACTATATTCCATTTTAGATTTTAAGAATTAATCTATCCTATTTTTTTATTATTTTGTGTCAATTTCAAATATCATAATATTTTATTGGATTATAAAAAAATAAATTTTATGACATGCACTGGCATATCTAGAAAAGAAAATTAAAAGGAACAAAAAATTTTTCAAAAATTAGAAGTAAAATAAAAAAAAAAACAGTATTTTATGTGGTAAATTTTAAAAATTTCATAATTTTAGGGGGGTGAATTTAAGAAAATTTTTGGGCTATGGGTGGGGCCTCCCCTGGCCCCAACCTGATGTCACCGCTGATGAGATGAAAAGATATTAGACTTGCTGTAGAGTAGAGGGAAGTAATTGCACATGTTAGAAACATGCATGTAAAGAAAAAAAAAATTAATATGCTAATTTTCTTTTCACCATGCCTTTATCCTTTTTCCTATTATTGATTTGACACTGTAAAAAAATAGACAAGTTATTTTAAAGTTTGAATTACAACCATGACATGCTGTACCCTATTTTTTAAAAATTATTTTATTCAATGTCTCTGTTATGTCACATATATTGATTTCATGCACCGTAGCATTTAATTGATTTTACATAAAGTTTTTCGTACTGTGGTAGATAAAACTTGATACAGGTAAAATCAATTGCCCATGTTAAAAACAACATGCATGAAGAAGTTAAAGTTGAGACGAAAGCTTTGAAAATTAAGGTTATTAATTAATTAATTAATTAATTAATTAATTATAGAGTGTCCATTTTGGTCTACCAAAGTTAAAGTTGAACAATTTGTTTATTAAAAAAAAAAAAAAAGAAAAAAAGAAAAGTGGTCTTTGCTTTGAAACATTGCACTTTGCTTAGTAAATCATATCATTGATGTGAAGTCTTAAAGTAAATCATATCTCAAATAAGATTACATTTTGCATTAAAAGAATCAAAAAAGTAGGCAAGATGGCTTAATTAACTTGAGTATTTTCATTTTTGACAAGCAAAAATCATATATTACCACCTAAAGAAGAAGAGGACGAAGAAGAAGTAATTAAATGTTACCGAGAAAAAAAAACAAGAAAGAAAAAATTAAATCACTTCAGAAATGAATGCAGAAGTAAATTCTGGGAGTTGTCTGTCTGATCAAATATTAATTAACTTGTCGAAAATTGAATCCATTTCTACCTGTGATTTCTTTAACAAATGAGCAAATAAGGAGTTTTCCATATTGGATATCAGCGCAGCGATAAATTCTAAAATTGATTAATAATTTATAATATCAAAAATAATAACGGAAAAAACAATCAAAATAATATTAATATAAAATATCAAATAATATTGTATTAATAAGAAGCAAACTTTCACAAATGTTAAAGAAAGAATTACTTACTTGCTTTTTGGCTTGGTTTTTGCTTGGTTCTTATAAATGAGGTGAGAGGTGGTATTTATAGGCATTTCTACCTCCTCAATGTACGACTATGATTTACTTACAAAAATGTATGGTGAAGATTACATGGAGAATTCTAGAGTAGGTGAGATATTTTTATTAAAATATCTTGTGAGTAGTATTTTAGAATGTCCTAAGTATTTATACACTATATAGGTTTGGAGCATCCGTTTTTTAGCTTAATTTATTGTGATAGCCAATTTTAACAATTGTCTTTTCTAAATTAATCGGTGATATTTTATTAGTCCAGTGACAGCGTGAGTTAGACCTCTTGGCTCAAGAGTACTTTTTA